AATACTGACGAAAAATATTCATTTAGCACCTCTCCTATCTCTTCGGACTCCACGCACAACTTCCCACTACTGTCCTTGACCGGCCCCAATCTTACTCTAGTCATTCTTTTATTCCTGACATACCTATAGAAAGCTTTAGGGTTTTCCTTGATCCTACCTGCTAAAGACTTCTCATGTCCCCTCCTGGCTCTTCTTAGCTCTCTCTTTAGGTCCTTCCTGGCTAACTTGTAACTCTCAAGCGCCCTAACTGAGCCTTCACGCCTCATCTCTACATAAGCCTCCTTCTTCCTCTTGACAAGAGATTCAACTTCTTTAGTAAACCACGGTTCCCTCGCTCGACCACTTCCTCCCTGCCTGACAGGTACATACTTCAAGGACACGCAGTAGCTGTTCCTTGAACAAGCTCCACATTTCAATTGTGCCCAGCCCCTGCAGTTTCCTTCTCCATCCTATGCATCCTAAATCTTGCCTAATCGCCTCATAATTGCCTTTCCCACAGCTATAACTCTTGCCCTGCGTTATATACCGATCCCTTTCCATCGCTAAAGTAAACGTAACCGAATTGTGGTCACTATCACCAAAGTGCTCACCTACCTCCAAATCTAACACCTGGCCTGGTTCATTACCCAGTACCAAATCCAATGTGGCCTCGCCTCTTGTTGGCCTATCTACATACTGTGTCAGGAAACCCTCCTGCACACATTGGACAAAAACTGACCCATCTGAAGTACTCGAACTATAGCGTTTCCAGTCAATATTTGGAAAATTAAAGTCCCCCATAACAACTACCCTGTTACTTTCGCTCCTATCCAGAATCATCTTTGCAATCTTTTCCTCTACATCTCTGGAACTTTTCAGAGGCCTATAGAAAACTCCCAACAGGGTGACCTCTCCTTTCCCGGTTCTAACCTCAGCCCATACTACCTCAGTAGACGAGTTCTCATCAAACGTCCTTTCTGCCACCGTAATACTGTCCTTGACTAACAATGCCACACCTCCCCCTCTTTTACCACCTTCCCTGATCTTACTGAAACATCTGAACCCCGGAACCTGCAACAACCATTCCTGTCCCTGCTCTATCCATGTCTCCGAAATGGCCACAACATTGAAGTTCCAGGTACCAACCCATGCTGCAAGTTCACCCACCTTATTCCGGATGCTCCTGGCATTGAAGTAGACACACTTCAAACCACCTTCCTGCCTGCCGGTACACTCCTGCGACCTTGAAACCTTATTTATGACCTCACTACTCTCAACCTCCTGTACACTGGAGCTACAATTCAGGTTCCCACCCCCCTGTTGAATTAGTTTAAAGTTCCACTCTTAGTTGCCCTACCTTTCTGCTCTATGGTAAGTTTGGTCAGGGCATGCATTATCTTTATTTTGAAAATCTGCCATTGTTCCATTTACTGTTTTTCTGGTCAATATATGTTTCCAGTTCACCATGCTCAATCTTTTCACAAATCCAGTTGCAGATTTTTGCCATAGACATTGGTTTGTCCTATTCCATAAGTACTTAATATTTAATTATAGATATTTTCAATCTGTTCACACATGCTATGATATACCTCTGAAACAGGTGGGACTTGAACTCAGATCTTCTGGGCCTGAAGTAGGGATGCTACAAAAGCTTTGCCTAATTATATTATGGTCACTATTACCTATGTTTTCTCTCACTGAAACAAGCACTTCTAGCCCAACTTCATTCCCCAGAAATAGATTCCCACACTATTTCCTTTCTTATTGGGCAGGAAATATGCAGATTAATAAATGCTCTTGCAGACATTTTAGGAGTTCTTCACCTTCCATGCCTGTTTCTCTGTTTACTGTTCCTTCTTTTTAGCTTTCTCTGAAATTTGCCTGTGGACTTGTTCCCCTATCACCTTCTGTATTGACTATTTGATGACCTATTTAGTTTATTTAATAGCCAGCAAATAAACCTCGCTTTATGTATTCCTTAAATTTATACAAATAAATTCTCTTTGAACCCATGGTATATTATCACTCTATTTGAAGTGTAATATTCTCGCAAATCTCCAGATAGTCAGAGACTGGATGTGTTCTCAAAAGATAGGTATTGGGATCCCTTGAAAATGCTGTCTCAATGATTCTGTGAAGAAGTGATGGAAGGGACTTATGATGCTATCAAGCAGCACTTAATTCTGCCAGACCCACTCAGATCTCGATTTCATTACAGGCTGGAATGGACGATAAATGCTGGCTCAGACAGCGACACCCATATCTTATGAATTAACTTCAAAAATGCCCAGGAAGCTTAAACCGCTGATGGGCAATTCTCCAAGACCTTGCAATAAATACAGATAGGTTCAGCCTTACTTCCCCGGATCTTCAAACAGTAAACGTTAGACAGATTAGAACCATCTCCAACTCTTGGATAACCAGACAACTGACCTACTGGCTATCCCAAAACTTGACCCCAATCCACCAACCACCTCAATCCTATCACCCTACCAATCTACCTCATTCACTAACACACTAAAAAGCTATTTATATGTTGCAAAGCCTCAAAGCTTTTCAATATGTAAGTTAATGAAGATTTACCAATCCTGCGCTACGAAGGACTCAGATATCAGGTACATTCCGCATTTCTGGTGTGGCTGTGTTTGCAAGTTCCGGCCAGAAATACGGAACCCTGTTCATAGCGTAAAGTAAGAAGTGCAATCTCGGAAAAATTGGGTGACATTATCACCACCACCGATCTTTTCCATTCCTTATCCCCCTGAATATATTGTTGTTACGAATGTTTCGTTTCCAGTCTTGCGTATATGGTCACCCTATAGCTAAATAACACAACCTTATTCAACAGTTATTGCTCGACATTCATCAACTGTCAGATCCCTCCCATGAACACATATATTCGAGTCTGCTTGCGCTTCTACTTCCTGCTTCCCTCCGACTCCTCACTGTTCGTTGTCATTGATGCAGTTTGTTCCTCCTTATCTGTGCAATTTCCCCTGGGCTGTTGTGACCTTGTTGCCCCGCTCCTGCCAGTTTGGGTTGGATCATCCCTCAAAAGTAGGAGACAACCTCCCTACGCATTTATCTGGCTGGTTGAGATTTGTAATTTGTCCCGCCCTGTGTCAAATTTCTGATCTGGTTTACTGAATTATACGACGTACATTTTATATCTTCACCACACGGGCTGTAAATTTGCTGGAGGGATATTAATTCTATTCGACAAAGGAAATGCAACACCCTCAGTCGCACTCACAGTAATGCGGCCTAACCGCCATCGGCTGGTGTGGCTAGTTACTACAGTGAAGCAGCGCAGTCGAAATTACCCCAATTTACTGCCATATTTGATTCTTGGTACCCGGAATCATTTGTCTACTTAGCTATAGATTAGCCCTATTCCATGCGATTCTAAAGAATGATCGGTACATCATACAGTTAACGAGTTAACAATAATCTACTGTCAGATTAATAATTAATGAATATTACAATTGTTTGGAATGAGTTATAGTTTAGGACTGTTTCATGTGACGACGTGTAATTGTATAAGACGCAGCAAAATATCATAAGGCGCTGCATACGAAAAGTTTAAATTTGACACAAGCACATATCTTCACCTTATACCAGCTGAGAGCCCTGTACTGGACTCCAGCTTCATACTCAGCTTTACAGGGCAACCTTGCTGCTTCTCCACACTTTACTGTAACTTCGGATATAGATTCCGTCGCCACAAACACCAGTCCTGCAGAATAAGGAATACCAAAGTTGAGATAATGTACGTAACTCGTATAAACTTAGCATTAAATACTACTGATCATTCATAAGGAAGTGGATGTTCGAAACGACGAGTAGTCGAACCTACGACAGGGTGGAGCAGAAAGCGCGGCCATTGTCTGCAAGTTATTTTCTTAACATCAAACACTTACTTTGCAGAACCAGATATAATATTTACCTTGAACAGCTAGAAACCAACATTTCTTAAGGTGAAACATCATCCTTTCGAACACATTTAAAGCATCATGTGGAAAAGCAGCAAGGTTTTTGGCCGACCTCACCAAAAGCCAACGCTCCGTGACAAACAGCTAACGTTGTGTAAAGTTCATTTCCGGTTTACATTGCAAAATCGGCGACAAAATTCAATCCCTCGATAGTTGAAAGTTTTCACTTAATTGGCTTCAGTCGACGAAGATATTTATTTATTTAACTTTTTACTTATTTCTGTGAAGGTATTTCATTTTTACCGTTTTCGTTGAGAAAGGCGGGGCTAAGAGAGTGAGACTCTATTCTCCACAGCATTCTGGCGATGAACGATGCGAAAGCTACGCGAAAAATTTGTGTTGCTCCTGCTATTGGCCGGGGGTAAGTGGAGAAGGTGGGTCGGGGTCGGGGTCGGGGTCGGGGTCGGGGTAAGGGTAAGGGTAAGGGTAAGAGGGTGAGTGGAGAAGGTGGGTTGGGAACAAAAGTATGAGTTGCTGGAAAAGCTCAGCAGATCTGGAAGCATCTGTGAAGAAAAGTCAGAGTTAACGTTTCGAGTCCGGTGACTCTTCCTCAGAACAGGTGGTTTCGGCTTCAGTTGAGGAGAGTGAGTAGATAAGGTGGGCTGGAGTCGGCATAGGGAGGTGAGTTTTTCTGTGTGTCGGCATTTAGTGAAGTAAGTATGGCTTCGCGCCTTCATTCTGGGTCCTTGTCATTGTGGTAAAGTAAAAGTGAGCGAGTACGAATCCTCTCTCCGGGTATTCCTCTTTTTTTTCCCTCGTGCGGTGTGTCGCAATAATTATGCGAGTACTATTTATTTCTCATTATTACCATTATTTATCACAACTGGTTGTTTGCACGTAACTTTACCGGTTACACGACTACAACACTGCCGATTTTATTTTAATACAAAAAATGATTAATAATGACCCTATTTTATTGCGCTGGTTTATTCAGTTTATTCTAGTTGTTAGTGCCTTATGACCAGGGTTAAAATCCTTTTGATTTAACGTCACTTCTAAAAATCTCTAGGGGGCAAGGAATGTCTGCGTGGTGTAGGATGAGTTTAACAAGGCAATGAATGAAAAATGATAACTCAATTCGTTTCTGCTAGTTCGAGAAATTTCAGTAGTGTAGGCTAGTTTCAAATCAAGTGTTTTACATTTCTATAATTTGGTTACATTGTGTTTCTATTGGTTATATTCATCTGCCCAGTTGTAAATGATCAATATTTCCCCAAGTCGTTTGACTACCTCCACTGAGTCTCGAACAGATGTAAGCCGACGTGAAACGTTAAATCAAAGCCTTATCAGCTTTCTCGAACGTGTTTACTGTCCTGGCCAAGATAGATCCCTCAATTAATATCTCAAAAATGCATTTATTAACCATTATTACGTTGCTGATTATGGGTGCTTGATGTTTGCAAACTGGCTGCCGTGTTTCTCGCATTACAGCGATTACAGTTCGAAAAATAGTTCATTGGCTGCGCAGTTTCGGGATCTGAGGTCGTGAAAGGTGCAATAATAAATGCAAGTGTTTACTTCTGTTGATCGTTCTATCTATTATAGCATCTGATTTATTTTTAAAAAATGGAGTTTCTGCTATTTTTATTACGCAGGATCTATTTCAGGGATAAATGAGGTTTTCTCCCCCCTCTTTTTGTATAGTAGCATCTGAAAAAAATGTTGCAAACCCCGTGACAGAAATATAGTTTGCCACAGTTTGAGATCAAGCAAAGAAGGCGATCTCGGGACTAGAGGTTAAAGACCAAGAGGTAGGTTGGTAATATTTTAGAGGACATTATTAAGGATTAGATTGCAGAATTGACTTGTACAGCAAGGAAACAGACCCTTCAATTCAACTTATCCAGGCTGACCAAGTATCCCAAACTAAACTAGTCACGCTTTGCCTGCATTTGGCCCATATTCTTCTAAACCTTTCCTATTCATTTACCTATCCAGATGTCTTTTAAATGTTGTAACTGTACCTACCTGTTCCTTTGGCAGATTATTCCACATACAAACCTGCTGTGTGAAAAAGTTGCCCCTTAGATCCCTGCTAAACCTTTCTCCTCTCACCGTAGCAAAAAATGCCTCCTAGTTTTGAACTCGCCAACCCTAGAGAACAGACCTTTGCTATTCACCTTATCGATGCCCCTAATGACCTTATAAACCTCCATAAGGTCACCCCTCAACCTTCTATGCTCCAGTGGAAAATGTCCCAGCCTATACAGTGTCTCATTATAACTCAAACTCTCCAGTCTTGGCAACATTCTGGTAAATCTTTCCTGAACCCTCTCAAATTTGATGATATCCTTCCCATAGCAGAGTGACTGGAACAGTACACAGTACTCCAAAAGTGGCCTCACCAATGTCCTGTACAACTTCAACATGACATCCCAATTCCTATGCTCAATGGTCTGAGCAATGAAGGCAAGAGAGCTAAATGTCCTTTTAACTAGCCTGTCTACCTGTGATGCAACTTTCAAAGAACTGTGTACCAGGGTAAAATAGGGCTGTGTCAGTACAGCTTTTTCAAGGGGAGGTGTAAGTGTCATTTTCATGTGTCTGATTTACTTGCTTAGTAGGACACCAATGAGACATGGCTCGCCATGAGATGTGGTTTATTATCACCAAAACACAAATTCTATGAAACTATGAAACTCATCTTTCTTTCTAATTTTCCGAGTAACCTTGTAGTTCTTAAATTACCATGTTCTCCCACTGGTTTAAAATCTGCTTTGGAAGTTCAAGATGGTAAAGAAGTTTGTACTAGCCCAATTATGGCTGGCTGAACTGAGTTTGAGGCTATTCTCCCAAGGTTCCTGCTTCTTGTGGTGGTGATGTCTCCCGAGTTTCAGCCCCACTGATTTGAGTGGCTCCTTTAAAATTCAATTTTCTGGGTCATCCCCAAGTACAGCAACTTACTTTTTGTTTGTTGTATTGGCATGATAGCTGACAGGTGGATTCCTCTTATGTAGTTACAGCAGTTTGATACAATATAGTGAGCACAAGTCAGTTACTCCATGTTACGAGTTTCTGTCCCAAGAAGGGGTGTTTCAAAAAGCAGTATTGGATATTATAATTTCTTTATTGATTGAGGCAACCCTAGGAGCTGGGCTGTCTCAAAAACTGTATTACCGAAACTCCAATCCATTGTTCCATCTGAAACTTCACAGCATTGTCTCATAAACACCTATTCAGTGTAGTCAATCAAGGTAAATGGCTTGCGTATCTATCTGGCCTGATCCAATTTAACAGAGAATTCTGCAAGCTTCCCGACTTACTACCTCAGTTCCCTTCCCTGTGTGCCATTCAGTTGGCAAATATTGCTTTGTGTTCCAAAAGAGTTTTTAATTATTTAAAAGGAACATTCCACTATCTATAGAAGTCATGCCTGACAAATCTGTTAGAATTCTTTGAGGAGGTAATGAGCAAGTTAGACGAAGGGGAGCCAGTGATCATGATCTATTTGGATTTCTAGAAGGCCTTTGACAAGGTGGCTGCCAAATAAGATAAGAGCTCATGGTGTTTGGGGCAAGGTACTGGCATGGATAGAGGATTGCCTGACTGGCAGAAGGCAGAAAGCAGGGATAGACAGGTCTTTTTCAGGATGGTAGCCAGTGGCTAGTGGGGTTGTGCAAAGGTCCGTGTTGGGACCATGTTGTTTATTAACTATCTTGATGAGGAACTAGAGCATTGTTGCTAAGTTTGCAGGTGACACAAAGATAGTGGAGGGACAAGTAGTGTTGAGGAAGTGGGGATGCTGCAGAAGGACTTAAACGTGCTAGGAAAATGGGCAAAGAAGAGGTGGATGGAATACAATGTGCTAAAGTGTGAGGTTATGCATGTTGGTAGGAAGAATAGAGGCATAGACTATTTTATAAATGGAAAAAGACTTCAGAAATCTGAAGCACAAAGGGAGAGAGAGAGTCCTAGTTGAGGGTTTTTTAAAGGTTAACATTCAGGTTTACTTGGCAGTTAGGAAGACAAATGCAATATTAGCATTCATTTCAAGATGGCTAGAAATATATTGTGGAGGTTGTGTAAGAGTGGTCAGATCACATTTTGAATATCACGAGCAGTTTTGGGCACCATAGCTAAGGAAGGATATGTTGGTTTTGGAGGGCATGCAGAGGAGATTTACAAGAATGATCCCAGGGATAAAAGGCTTGCCATATCAGGAGCGGTTGAGGACTCTGGGTCTATATTTGATGGAGTTTCGAAGGATGAGAAGGGTTCTGACTTGAAACTTAAAAGAATACTGAAAGGCTGAACAGACTGGACATGGAGAAGATGTTTCTACTAGTAGGAGAGACAAGGATTCTAGGGCAGTGTCAGTGTGAAGGGATGACCCTTTAGAACTGAGAAAAACAGGAATTTCTTCAGCCAGAGAGTGGTTAACTTGTGGAGCTGATTGCTGCAGAAGGTTGTGAGGCCAAGTCACTGAGTGTATTTAAGAATAGGATTGAGCAACGTATCAGTCATGGTTAAATGGGAATGCAGAGTCAGTTGGCTGAATGGCCTAATTCTGCTCCTGAACCAAGTCGTCTTATGAGTCAAGATTTTGGGTTGACTAGTACAATGTAGGCTTTAATTTCAAAGGGCATCATGTTTCCCATGTATTTATGATCAACTAACTCATTCAGACTTGTTCGTTTGTCCTTGGAAAGACACACCTCTACGTGAACTTTGACGTAAAGCTTTAACTTGGGGAGGCAATGGCCTAGTGGTATTATCGCTGGACTGTTAATCTGGAGACTTAGATAATGTTCTGGGTTTGATTCCCACCACGGCAGATGGTGGAATTTGAATTCCAATAAATATCTGGAATTAAGAATCTAATGATAACCATGAATCCGTTGCCAATTATGGGAAAAACACATCTGGTTCCCCAATGGAGTTTGCACATTCTCCCCGTGTCTGCTTGGGTTTCTGCTGGGTGCTCAGGTTTCCTCCCACAATCCAAAGATGTGCAGGCTAGGTGGATTGGCCATGCTGAATTGCCCGTAGTGTTCAGGGATGTGTAGGTTAGGTGGGTCATAGGGGGACGGAGTCTGGGTGGGATGCTCTGAAGGTCGGTGTGGACTTGTTGGGC